CTTGCTGTTTGTTTTTTCTTTTGCTTCCTGCTTAATAAACTCACTCATTCAAAACTGAAAGTATAGCTATTCTAGATCATTTTTCTTGACCACACAGAACACAGTCTCACAGGGACCATGTTCTCCAAGTCGTATCTCTCCTTTCTGTGCCCATAGCTTACTATCCACTGCTACAGAGTGAACAAGAGTTTTTGGTTACAGCAGCAGAGACGAAGAAGTATGGTCCTCTTTACCCCTAAAGAGGCAGAATACTGAAATGCATATGACCTGATGTTGACTTGGGCTCTGGGCTCCGGAAATATGGATGGAAGAAGGCATTGAAAAAGGTAGTTGAAAGCCTTTGAATCTGGCATTAGAGAACCTTCAGAATTAAGCTGAAAGACTGATGCAGAACTAAACAGTGATGAAATCCTGTCAAGTGACGTGAAAGCCTGGATAGGAACAACAGGTTTCCCAGATAAGCAGAAAAGGCAGCTCTTGTGCCTGACACCACCTCAGGAAAAAATATTCTCTGTGCACAGAAGGCTGGGACACAAGCTGTGTGGAGGATTTGATATGTGACGATAAGTAGGATTGAAGAATGTCATGAGTATCACTTTCAAATATTCTGTCCCATTCATTATCTTTGGCTTTAATATCTCACAAATATTTTCTGCCAGAAACAAACTAGTGTCTTCATCAAATGCCCATTTTAACACAGAAAGTTTTTAGAATAAAGTACAGAAATAAAGGAATCAAAACAATAGTACTGATGTTTTGTGTTAAGGGATATGTGTCAGATTTTCAATATTTATAATTTATGAAGTAATTTTTATATTCAAATTTATAATCAATTTATAAGTGTGCAACTGATTAATACATTTTGGCTTATAGTTCTATAACATCTCACCAGGTTAATAATAGTATTGGAATATTCAAGAAAACTTAAATTCCTCCATCTTTATAATTTTAATAAATTAGATCTATAAAAATAATAAAGTTTAGGAGACATGTAGAGATAAAGTATTTAGTTCACTACTACAAATGAGTTTTGAAAGTTTAAAGAGAAATATAATCATGTAAGCTTATTGTTGTGCTTCCTCAGTTGAAATACCTTTAAAACTTTGGTATTAAAAATTTTATCATACTTACACAGAGCAGCAAAGTGAAGTTCAGTGTACTGTCCTTGACTTGTGTCTGACAGGCTCTGGGTTTGTTCCCCCTCCCACAAAAAATTAAAATTTAAAATAGGAAGTGTTTAAAATTTTAATTTACAAGGACTGAGTTTAGAAATTTTTAATGGGTGAGTCTAAAATTCTATTCTATCTACCAAAAAACTCTTGAAAGCATGTATCCCTCTAAGCTTAAAGTAATAATCTTCCTCAATTGACTCATTGAAAATTTATTGTAGGAATGACTTTTACAATATGGGATATGCTCTGGACAAATGACTTTTGCCTAATTTTGCAACCAAAAAGTTAATCTTATCTTTTTAGATTTAGCACTATCTAAGCTTGCTTGTAAAACAAAGCAAGCTGATTAAGCACTGCACTCCTCTTGTGACTTAAATGTACAGCCCTAATCCCTCATGACTTTGTTTGACCTTGACCCAGAAAAGTGTATGAATGTGTGTATGTGCATGTTTTATAAATCAAGCAAGTGCAGCAAGTAGCAGGTATTATTGGAACAATGAAGATTATATCATTTGTGTTGCAAGCTGCAGGGATTAAATTGATAATATCTATTTGTGTGTGTGTTATTCTAGATCTATAGGAGTCAGAAAGGGTAAAAGCCTTCTGATAAGTGTCAACTTTTACTTTCCCATTTCATAGTGGATGAACACCTTCAATAAAAGAGAGAGGAAGGCCTTTGTTCTAGAGGATGATTCTGAGAGCGATCTGAAGGAACAGGTTCAAGAACAGTTCAAGTCCCCTCCTGGCTGAGTCAGGTTTTCGTTTTTTAGGCATTACCATAATATGGGATCACATAGTGCTATGAAATTTATGGGAAATTCTTCCATACTACTTCATGGCTGTCCTCTATTGTTTTACTTTTCTTCAACATTAGACAGAATATAGAGGTTCAGGATCTATTCTCGATATACATTAATTTTTTTTTTATACATTTTGTCAACCATTTATTGTACTTGGGAGACCTTCTCATGTTTAGGTTTTATTTCCTTTGTTTCTATATTATACAGTGACATTGCTTTCTTAATCCATATTCAAGGTACAATAAATACCTGATAAGCTCCTATGGTGATGAAATAATATGAAAGGCAATTACAAATATGGTCATAATCCAGCCTCTTATTTCAATTATGAGTTGAAATAAGGAGGGGCAGTTGCCACACCAAAGAGATTGGCGGTTAGAAAGATCACTGAGGAGTTGGAATCACACCAGCACCCAACATTGATCCACTTAATAAAGTTCCTATTCCTTACTTTGCTATGTATACAAGCAGAACAGCTTTTACACTGTCTGATTTAAGGGTTTCTTCTTTGGATTATAGCGATGAAGTGTGAGGTGTTCATGAAGGAATGTGGTGTAACTTCAAGAGTCCTGAGTGGAATCCTCAGGTTTGTGACAATTGAGGCAAAACAGGAATAAAGAGCAAAGGAGGGAGTCTCCATCTCCATCTTATCTTTGATGAAGGCTTGCCCTGCAGAGTCTAATCCTCTTGAAACATAAACACCATGATTTCACATGACAGAGTGTGGATGCTATGTTGCCTTGGAGAAGCACCTCTGGGAAAGAACCATCCTAGGCACAATGTCACTGCCACAACCCACCATCCTTTATGTCCTTGCCAGATTATTTTTCTTCACATTACTTACTGTCCCAATTTATAGAGCTTGTTTTATTTTTATTTTATTCTTTTCCATCTCTCCCACTGGTATGTATATCTGATGAAGACAGCAGCTTGGTTTGAGAGTCATTCTAGTCTTAGCTTTTGCACACTGCCAAGCACCTGGAAATGTAGTACAAAAGCATTTGTGTAATGACTGATCTCATTGCTACCCAGACATAGTGTGATAAGCATAGCTAAAACTGATTTTCCTCAGCCTGAATTCTAGAGTAGAATACCTTTTCTATTTTTGCTAATTTGTCATCATTTTGGAAAACATACTAAATATAATTCTTTACAAATGAAAACCTTTACAGATTCTACTTACTAACTCAAAAATTTCCTGAAACAATGTGAAGAAAGTACAAGGCTCCCTTATTTTGGGCTTGGGGTCAGAGTTTTGCTAATTGTTCATGGCATTCCATAAAAATACTACTCATAAAATGCAACTTCAATAATATAGTCATAGAACTGCAAAGAAGGTCTTAAAATGTGTTGCTTATTTCAGAGACTGGAGGCAAACAGTTATAAACTGTGGTCTTGGACATGAACTGATATTTTTTCTTAAAAATTGTTATTTATTATTTTTATGTTATGTGTATGAATGTAGTGCCTGACTGTATGTATGTGTACCTACCTGTGTTGTGCATTGCCCACAGATGTCAGATCTCTTGGAAATGAAGTTATGGATGGTTGCTAGCCACCACTTGGGTGCTAGGAATCGAACCTGGGTCCTCTGCAAGAGCTTCCAGTAATCAACCAGTGAGCCATCTCTCCACCCCCCTGATCTAATGTTCTTATGAGAACTCAATGGGTTGCTTCTTACTTGCATTCTCTGCATTTAGTGCCTGGAGAAGGAGAGATTTCTGCTCTCTCATAAGCATAATGGAGCATTTGCATTCATTGGTTTTCAAATTCCATGTGTAGTCTGGTTTGTGCTAGTTATTCCCAGAGTCCTTGACCAGGCCTAGATCCCACCAACACCAGTCTCAAGTAACCACAGCTGACCCTTCACTCATTTCTTTGAAACTCATATTTGATAAAGTCATAGAATGTTGCCAGGCTAGAAAAAGTCCCTAAGATACTGGACACACATGGGCAGAACACATGATCTCTAGAGGACCATGACATATTGGACTTTATATGCTAGCATGTACTATGGTCTATTCACTACTCAAGGTGAAGCTTCAGGTACTCACATCTGTCCTTTTCAAATCTTATGTAACAAAATGAATGTGATAAGTCCTTGAGCCTAGGGAGTCTACTCAGCTCACTCTTCAGGGCAGCTGCGATGTGTACATGGTGTGGCAGCTTCTGGACTTGGTGTTCTGCAGTTCCAGGGAGCCTTCAGGGTTTCACTCTCTGCATTTCAGTTGCATCTGCACAAAGGCTGTGCTTACTCCACATTTAGGTTATTTCTGAAAATTCCCATGGTCTTTCCTTTTCCTGTTGTAGTAGAGGCTGACTTTTATGTGTAACGTTGTATTGAATTAGCTGTTCACATGCTTCCATTTGAGAGTCATAAAATGTGACAGCAAAAAAAGGCCCCCTCTCCTGATTCAGTCAATTTGATTCCTTTACAGTGAAGAATCATATTTGGCCTTTAGGCTAAGAGTGAGTATAGAGAGAAGGGTATGTAATTAATAGTAGTAATCAGTACTAGAGACATGGAAGGTAGTTAGGTGCAGGGCAGAATCACATGCAGTTTCTTCACTCAATGGGAGTTTCTTAGCCCACAGATGGGGCCCTGACTTTTTACCTGGGAATTCCATAATGGCTTCTTGTCTAGTCCTTTATCTCTGTTAACAGAGGGAATGGCATGGTAGACTTGCTATGCTGTGATAACAGCACAATGCCCCTCTCCTAGTCTCGGATGGTACCATGCGTCTAGTCCTTTATCTCTGTTAACAGAGGGAATGGCATGGTAGACTTGCTAAGCTGTGATAACAGCACAATGCCCCTCTCCTAGTCTCGGATGGTACCATGCGTGTTAGCATCATCTCTTACCCTATTTTGGGAAGTTCACCCACCACAAAAGGACTTCTGGTCTTCTTGTCTTCTTTGTGTGGAAGAACTCAGGTTCTCTACAGAGAAATATCTCAAAGAAAGGGATTTCTGTGCCATGCAGATCTTTCTCTCTTCCAATATATATTTCAATAACAAAATAAAAGACTTGAGGTTTTTGCACCAACGTGCATGCATTCATTTATTTTTCACTGTGGTAGCAAAGATATACAAGTACAATCCAACATTTAATGAATTATAAGTGATAGCAAGCCCATGAATCTTGAGTATATCTGTAAGGCAAATAAACCCAATAATTTTCATACTATGGGCACTGAACTACACATGCCTTTGGAAGAGTTACTATTGCTCCTGAATACCATGACATGCATGGTGTACAAAGTGATTTTCAAGGTATTTTCAAAGCTAAAGCTTAGACATTTAAATCCCACCACTTTGACAAAACTGGAAACACAAACAGTGAAGTTCAGCCTCAGCCAATTGTTCTCCAGACAAAAAGGTCAAGAAACAAAATCATGAACAAAGGCAATGCAAAAAGGAAAGGTCTATCTAGAGGGAGTGGATGTTCATTAAAATCACACTTCCTCTTCTGATTCTTGCTCTCGATCTGCATTTTTCAGGAGTCCAACTTCTGAGGCACAGACCCTCTTAAGTCTGGATTTAACTAACCTGAGGAAAAAGAAAACCAACTCTGATTACATGATATCTAAAGTAAAAAAATTAAAGCAATATACATTTAAAATGTAACAAACTACAGATTATGGTATAAAGAGTAGAGGCATCATCCACCAAAAGAAAATTGTTTCTATTTGACTGAACTACCTAAAAATTCCTGTAGACTAAGGCAATGCATAAGTAAAGAGAAAAGATGTGTCTTTCAAATATATTATGAGATTGTTTAATCATGCATCAGAAAATAACTGATCACTTGTAAAATAAGCAGGAGATTGTTGGCTGTAACAAATATAACTGAAACTGAGTTTAGTGGAGCTTCTGTATCAAAACCATTACTACCAATGAATTGTAGAGACATGTCAGCTCCTGGAGAGGAAGTATATGAAGTCAGCCAATGGCAAGTCTGGGCTGAATTTCAGGTCTTCCTTGTGCTCTTAGGAGAGGTGCTTTTGTACAGGACACATGCTGCTCAGCTACAGATGGTAGCCCTGTCCATATGAATTACAAAGTTGTGTGCCCATTTTCACGGTTTAAGAGAAATTAAGATGGAGGTTAATGGGAAGTGATAATTATACTTTTGGCACTGGAATATCTGAAACATCTTAGAGACCAAAGCTCAGCAGGCTCTCTACTTCTCTGATGTGAGGATGAGTATTAATAAGAACTAGACAAAGATTTCCCCCTGAGTTGTTATCATAAGGAAATGGCAACTGTCACCGCATGAATAAGATAAGATTTCCAGGAATACACAGGAATAAGCAAAAAAATTTGGTAAACAGAACATCCAACTTTTTCTCCTTTTATAAGAAACTTTTCCAGCCTACTCATGTCCTGAACTTTGCTTTCTATTTTCCCTTTTTGGGTGAAGTTCTGGTCTGTCCTGTCAGCACATGCCTTTACGTGTGCTCTGGATCCTATCAAAGCTTCACAAGAGCACAGACTGCATCCTATTTGTGGGCCTAACCCCCAGTCAAGTCTGAGCAGATTCTAATATAAGATATTGTCAGAACATACATTTGACAAATCGGTGACATGTGAAGCAATCTTTGGGAGGTCATTTCACTCATCAGTGAAAAGAGGCTAATTCTTCAGGCACAGACACCACCAATTCTTCCAATAACAACTAAGCAGTTGGGGCTGGAGAGATAGCCCAGTGGTTAAGAACACTGACTGCTCTTGCAGAGGACCCAGATTTGGTTCCCAATACCTATAAGGCAGCTAACAACCATCTGTAACTCCAGTTCCAGGGATCCAACTCCCTCTTCAGACCTCCATGGGCTTTGCACATGGGCGCACTTACATACATGCAGACAATGCATCCATACACATAAAATTAAAATAATAAAGTATTAAAAAATGAGCAGTATCAGTAACTTCTCTTGACTCAACAGCCAAGAAAAACTGATCAAAATCATTTGCCTTGATTATTGACTATTAATAATATTTGCAATATCCCAAACACTCCAAGTCACTATCTTTATGAAAAGTTAATGCTCTGGGACATATGGAAAACATTTATGTCATTAAAAGAATCCCACATATTCTTTCTCTATAGCATAACATCAATATATGTGAAATGAAATGATCAATTATTTCATGCATCCTGAAGATGCATGCCCAAAATAAAACAACTCATTGCTGCTTCCTGTGAATTTTTTAAGTACAGATCCAGTAACTCCTACTTCTTATTCCATCCCTGGGTTGATTTGCTCTTGCTATAAGTCACTAAGTTCAGACACAGTCACACCTTCATCAAGGTTTGTCTGCTACCTGTAGTTCTAGGTTTTATACCTCTCAGGAACCAAGGTGAAGGTATGTTTCTGCTTTTGCTTCTTGTTTTCTTCAATTAATGAGAGAAAGCACAGAGCCAACACAATAGGAGCACTTCCCAGTAACTGTTGTGCGTGCCTGCTGTTTGGACAGCCTTGCCTTGTTTCTTACAATGACTCATATGACTCACTGTGTAACAAATCCATCTGCAAACGGGCAATACCTTCTTACTCACAGACAAGGGCTATTGAAATGGCTATCTGCCTCAGAGGTGCATAAGTATGAGACACATTAAGTATGGAACAGAATTTCTAAAGAGATTGGTAGGCCTCTCCTATCAGCTTACATCATCAAGACTGCAGGCATGGGAAAGGATGAGATAATTTTTGAATCATTATGCTGAAAAATTGGGACACAGCTTCGTCTTTCAAGGATTTGGAGAGCAGAATTCTATTATTAGTCATTGTGCTTTGTCAAACAGATTTGGATATAATATGTGACATTTAATTATTAATTAATGAGCAAACTGTTCATAGCCAAACCTGAAAAAAAAAAAGTTTCAAGTCTCCTTAAATCTCAAATTCAGGCCTGAAATAGTTAGCCATGTGATCTCATTGAAAAGGTAGTACTGAATCCTCATTATATTTCAAAGCTGTTGCTCATTTACATTGAAACAGTTAGTTCAGGAAAATTGAACTTGTGGTATTATCTTCCTAAGGTCAATATTAGAGAAAAACTGAAGAGGGTATAAAGCAGGATTTCTGAGAAAATGAAGATTCTGTTTAAGAATCTCTGAAATATAGATCTATTTGACAGAAATCAAATGTTAATTGAGCACCTACTATATATCTGGCAGTGTATCAATAGGTGTGGGAATATACAATGATTGCTTTCGTGTGGGGACACTATCTAGCAGAGGAGACTAACACACATGAGCTACTAGTCAACTTCACAATTGGTAGACTATAATTTTTGAAATGTCTGGTAGAAACCAAGTGCTATAAAAGCTCAGGAAATGCAGATAAATAAGAGCTAAGGGAATTCAGGTTTCAAAGAAGAGATGGGTATTTCATGTGAATATGCCAGAGGGAACTGCCTTGTCAAAAAGATTAGAGTAACATGTGTCAGGGATTGGGAGAAACTGAGAAGAAAATTGGAGTTTCTTGTTTCTTAGGGGCCTGTGAGTGACAAGCCATTTATTAGGCATCTGAAGGTTTTTGAAACAGGAAGAGACAGTAGTCTTCTGTTGGCTTTGGAGGGGAGCTGACATGAAGTAGAGTTTTTCCTTGCATCCTGGCACTTTTCCTGAAGACTGCCCAGCCCCTAAGGAGATGAGGCCCAGATATCAGCCTAGAAGAACAGGGGAAGAAGTCAAGTCTCACTCAGTAGCACAGTGAGCCTTAACTATGAGCTGATGCACATGCTTTGGTGAAATGGAACAGAACTAACAAACACAATCAAAAGAAAGAGGGAAGCAACTAGAGATCAAAGTGGGCTGATTCAAGTCCTAATAGAGACATCTAGGAGCTTTGCAAGGCAATAGTGCAATAGTTTCTTCAGAGCTCCAATGCCAGAGCTGCTTTGTCTGTAAAGTTCACAGCAGGAGAACCTGGAGGAGTGACCTGGAGCCCTGTCTGGAAAATGGAAAGCTTTTTCAGCAGAAGTTGACATACTGCAAGTCCTAGAAGCAGCTACTACATTCTAGGAATCTGGAGAATCTGCTAAGAATCCAGTGTCTGAGATGGCAGGCACTATTTACATATTGATATTTGGAGCAACTGAAATTAATTGGAGCAGAAGTCTGAAGAATCCAGTACTGAAACCTGCATGCCTGGTAGTTGGGATCAGCCAAGCTCTCTGTGGTTTGCCACCATTTTAGGAACCACGAACATCCTTTTTCATTCTTGCTCATTTTGAAACTGTACCTTAACTTTCAATTATGAGAAGACTTTCCTGAGTTCTCTGTTCTCCTACTATCCATCTATCACACTGATTTTTAATTGTTTATTTCTCCAATTTAGTCCTGATTACAGGACAAAAAATTTATCATGGGCAGAGTCATTGCCTCCTGATTGTACAGCAAACAGAGAGAAGGAAGAAAACAATAGGAATAAGAAGATTGTCAACTGGGCTCTTAAACCTTCGGAAATTTAAATACATGACCTCATTTAGGTTCTGTTATCTCCATTTACTAAATAATGAAAATCAGACTTATTGTGGTTGGGTAATAAGTTTGAAGAGCCAGGAATGTGTGTTCTTGGCAATCTGCTACAGTGTTCCTCACCTGCGTAGAATCTTGTATAAAAGAATGTATCATTAAAACTTAAAATGTGGCTGGAGAGATGACTCAGTGATTAGGAGTACTTGCTGTTCTTCCAGAGAACCCAGGTTCAATTCCCAACACCCACATGACAGATAGCAACTGTCTGTAACTCCAGTTCCAGGGGATCTAACACCCTCTTCTGGCCTCTGCAGGCATTGCATGAATGTAGTGCACTTATATACATGCAGACATAAAACTTGTATACATAAAATAAGAATAATAATTAAAAATTTAAAAATATTAAAGTCAACATTCCATTTAATTTGACCTACAAAAGTTTGTAAAAAATGGTGCCAAGGTTATGAAGTGGTATAGTTAAAGTATGAACATGTGAATAAATGGAGGCCTCGGTGCACACAGGGGAACTGATCACTCAGAAGAGAAAATAGCATATGTGAAGAGCTGGTGGTCAGGACAGTGCTGTAGGATGGTGCAGGGGTCAGAGACACAGCAGTCTACCACTGCACTATTGAAACTTTAAGCCAGCATGTATTCTTTTTGCTGGAAAGTTCTATGTGTAAAGATAACGTTCTGATGTGCTAGTCTGTCTTATGTGAATGAAGGAAAGAAGTTTTCCGTGTGAATTTTAAGGTCAACACTATCAATTCTTGGTGATCATATGCCAAGGAATGGAACTTCCATGAACAGAAGTCACTAACTTACCAGGTTATAAAAGCATAATTCATTCCAGTGATGATAAAAGTTGATGCATAATGCCAACAAAAGCATATGGTTAGAAAGAGTTTATTGTCCTGATCCTCCAGATTCCAGGCAGGACTTCCACTGGGGGGATACAGGACAAAACCAATCTGTAGTTTAAAACAAAACAAGCACATATTAAAATAACCAACCACTTTCTCAAACATGGTTCATTTGAAAATGTTTGCTAACTAATGACTTTCATTAAGTGAGATGGCAGATACAACATCACATTTTTCCTGAGTTTTTATTATTGTAGTTAACATCTACCAAATCATTTTTGGAAAAAAATAAAGCATATTTAATGATCAAGCTTCAAAATATTAATAGTGATGATCATCTCTGGGGATGGGCTCACTTTCAGAACTCCCTGGGGTTCCATATTGTGAAGTTTCATTTTGGTAATTTAAAATTAGATTGCATAATGGTATTAAATAAATACCTATGGGCAACATTGTGTTCATAGGTAGAAGGCTTAACTTTCTCAAGATCAGGAGCATAAAAAAAATTTGTTTTTATCACAGCCACTTAGCATTGTACTAGAAATTCTAGCCAGGGTAACTAGTCCAGAAAATAAAAGACATTCATATTGGAAAAGAGGTAAAATTATTTATTTTCACATAAATATGCTATTAAATATAGGAAATCATAAGGAATCAACACCCACAAATTATGAAAGATAATGGATGAGTTTAGCATATATTCAACTTGAAGATCAATACACAAAAAACATATATCTATATTTACACATATGCAGTGAAACCCAAAAATATAGTAAAAAAAATACTACTTAAAATAGTATTGACTAAAGTGAAATACTCAAGAACACAAATGAGACTATAGCTCAGTCTCATTTTGGGGGGAGAGGGTTCTTGCTTATTTGACTTACTATAACATACTGCAGATTTATCTATGTTGTTACAAACAATAGGCTCTCCTTTTGTCTTTTAAAGCTGAATAGCATTCCACTGAACACACACCACATTTCCTTTATACATTCATCAACACTTAAGTTGGTTCCATATCTTGACTATTTTGAGTAGTGCTGCAGTAAAATGGGAGAACAGGAGTCTCTTTGATTTTCTGATTTCATTTCCTTTGGATATAAACCAGAAATGGGATTGCTGGATCATTTGGTTTTATATTGATTTCTTGAGGAGACTTCATACTGTTTTCCCTAACGGACACATTGTTCCCACCAACAGTGTTCAATCCTTATGTCATTACTGAAGCTTAACTTTAATCTTTTTAAATAATAGTTATTTTAACACATGCAAGGTGATTTTTCAGTGTGGTTTTAATTTGTGTTTTTTTAATGCATGATGATGATCAGTGTCTTTTTCATATACCTTACAGCCATCTGTATGTCTTCTGAGAAATGTCTACTCAAGTCTTTTCTCTTTTTGTTTTGATCAATTTATCGTGTGTGTGTGTGTGTGTGCATGCGCACGTGTGTGCATATGCACACGTGGAAGCATACCACTGTGCACACGTGGAGGCCAGAGGACAATTTTGTGGAGTTCATTCTCTGTGTGTGTGTGTGTGTGTGTGTGTGTGTGTGTGTGTGCACGCGCACGTGTGTGCATGTGCACACGTGGAAGCATACCACTGTGCACACGTGGAGGCCAGAGGACAATTTTGTGGAGTTCATTCTCTCATTCTACCTTTACAAGTGTCCTGGAGATGGAACCTAGGTTACCAGACTTATGTGGCAAGTGCCTTTACCCACAGAGTCATCTTGCTGGCCCTTCCCTTTGTCCATTTAAAATTTTTTTATTGGGTGAGTGGGGGTCTGGGTTTGATTGAGAACTATTGTATTAGAATACAGAAGCTCATAAAAAGTTTAAAAATATCTTATGATTTTTATTTTATGTGTATGACTGTATTGCCTGCATGTATGTAAGTGTACACATGTGCAATGCCCATGGAGGCATCAAATTGCCCTGGAACTGGAGTTATGGGTGGTTGTTAGCTGCCATGTGGGTGTTGGGAACTGTACCTGCGTCCTCTGCAAGAGCAGCCAGTGCTCTTAACCACTAAGCCAACTCTACAGCCCCCCTTTGTCCATTTTAATTTAAATTTAATTTAATTTGGTATTTTTTGAGACTTTAGTGTCTCCCTATAGCCCCAATGGCCTGGAACTCTCTATGTAGACCAGGCTGGAACTCTCTATGTAGACCAGGCTGGCTTTGATCTCAAGAGATCCACCTTCCTCTGCCTCCCAAGTAATGGGATTAAAGGTATGTGCCACCATGCCTGGCTCCTTTGTTCATTTAAAATTTTTATTGAAGTTTTGTGTATTTCATACATAAAATCATCTTTATAACCCCTTCCCCTTTGGCACCTTTCCATAGCCACTCCCACCCCCTGACCCCGAAGCTCATACATTCTGTCATTTGTATTAAGGTCTATTATGTAAAGTTAGTGTCCTGAGATGTCCCTCAGTGCAAGTTCATCCACCCAGGTTTATTCAGCTTATCTAGAGTCACTCCCTTTAAGAAGATCAGCTCTTCCACACCCAGCAGTAATCAGCTGCCAATAATTCTTCAACTAAGATTAGGGCTTGCTGTTCATATCCACAGTTCTGTGCTGGGTTTTTGTCTGCCTAAGTTTGCACGGATCTTGTGCATGCTGACACTGTTGCTGTAGATTTGTATGAGAAGTGTCCCAGGTGCCTGTAGGACTATTTCTGTATGGTCATGCACCTCCTCCCTGCCTCTTACAATCTTTTCACCTTCTGTTCTACATTGATGTCTGAATCCTGGGTGGGTGGACCTCAATGTAAGAGTTCCATCCAAGGACTCACCCTCCCAACTCTTATTCTCTGTGTTTTCGCATTTGCAGCCTTTTGTGTCCCTGGCCCTCTGTTTCATGAAGGAGCTTCATTCATGAGAAATGAACGCTGCATTAGTGTTCTTTTCATTCCTTGTTCTATGTTTTAGGAGTCTTAAAACTCCTAAAGAGAGGGTGTAGAGGGTGCATCCTCGATGTGCCACTTAGGCTTGGGCAATTTACAGAGAATCTTTGTGTATGACCACTGGTGTAACTCTGTAATAATCTGTCTGTTGTAAAAGAAGCTACTTAGATGAGTGGTGACTGGGATACTTGTTTATAAGGATTTGGTGCTAGGATCCATCAATGAGTGAGAACATTTTGTTTCTTTTGTTTTTCTGTCTGTGTAACTTCACTTGGTATAACAGTTTCTAGATCCATCCATTTACTTGCAAATTCCATTGTTTCATCAATTTCACTGCTGAATAGAACACCATTGTGTAAATGTACCACATTTTTGTCAACCACTCATCAGCTGAGGGACATTTAGTTTTTTTTTCATCTCTCACCAATTGTGAAAAGAACAGCAAAAAACATGGTTACACAAGTGTCTCTACAATAGGATGAGTCCTGGAGTGGTATAACCAGTCAAATGGTAGGTTCATTTTTAGATTTTTAAGAGTTCTACACCCTGCTTTCCATAGAGGTTGCACAAGTTTGCAATCCCACCAGCAGTGACTGAGTGTTCCCCGTTCTCCACATCCTTGCCAGCATTTGGTATCATTTGTTCTCTTGATCCTAGCCAGTCTGATTGGGATAAGGTGAAATCTTAAGGTGGTTTTAATTTGCATTTCTCTAATTATTAACGATGTTGAACACATTTAAAGATATTTCTTAGCCATCTTTAGTTCTTCCTTTGAGAACTATCTGTTTAGATCTTTAGCCCATCTTTTAATTGGGTCATTTGTTTTCTTGATTCTTTGTTTTTTGAGTTCTTTATATATTCTGGAGTTTTACTCAGCAGTAAAGAAAGATGAAATAAGCAAATTTGCAGGTGAGTGGATGGATCTAGAAACTGTTACACTAAGTGGATCCTAGCACCAAATCCTTATAAGTGAGTGCATATCCTGATGTAGCTTCAAGAACCAGGAAAACGGAAGGAAACCAGGACAGCATAGGGAAAGAAGGAACCTGAGAGAGAAGAATAACTAAAGAGGAGGGGGAGAAGGAGTGTTATATATAGAACTGTGGGAATAAAGGAAAAGAAGGAGCTCAAAAGAGATGGGACCATAGCATACAAAAATTATCAAGGGAGAAATGGGGGAAATGGGGACACTTTAAATGGGAAGGGCAGAGAGGGAGACTTAGATAGTGAGAGAAAGGGGAGATAGAAATAGTCCCTAGCTAGTATGAAAAACAGAGGGAATAGAATTGGCCCAAATACCTACTGAAAAAATTCCACGAGTCTCTGCATGAGTCCATGAGTATAGCTGGACTACAAAACAAGAAACAGTGCAGACAGGAGAAACCTTCCTTTGAGTTGTTGGCCAGTGTAGTCCAAGAGATTCCCAAAATTACACAGGCTATTGCCACAGTCCTTGAATGCCTCCCAGAACTTGATGGTAACACCCTATTGCTGAAGATGGGATATACTTTGAACACAGGATTTAGAGCAATGGAGCTGGAAAAGACCTGGAAGTCACCTCCACTGAAGGTTAGCTCTTCATAACTTTGGAGAGTACTACACAAGCTGGAAAGGGAAAACATCAACTGATGGTCCAAACCCAGCTTCAAAGCCTAAAAACCACATCAATGGCCAGCACAGCAAATGACACTGGTGCAGTAGTGGCACGTTTATCTTGGGAGTAATCAACAGCTATCTAATTGGAAATAAATAACATTAGGAAAAGAGTGTGCTTAGAAACTTAAAAGAGATCCAACTCAGTGATAGGTGGTATGAAGTATGTCCACTGTACATGAGGCCCTGGTTTTGATCCCTAGCACCACACAAAAAATACATACTTTAAGAAAACTCATAAATTAAGGATGAAAGCATACTGAGAATGCAACATTAAAAAGTTATATTTATGATAGCATCCAGAGGAATTTATGGTCATAAATGTATTTTTATACAAGAAAGATTGAAAATATATAAACTTGACATTTAACTAAAAATAAAAACAGAAAAAGGAGCAAAAGACAGCTTCATACAAAGAAAAATGGGAATTTGACAAATCCATGACAGTAAAATAAAACTTCCACAGACTTCTATCAGCAAAAAAAGAGACCAATCTGTTGGAAAACAGAGATAAAGAATATATCCACAGCACTAAGTGTCCCAGAGCCTAGCTCTGGCCCCAGCAACCACCAGCCATTGTGTGTCTGCTCTGGACACGGAACCAGCAGGCCTATGGCTGGGCTCTAGTCCAGCTGCACATTTCTATTCTACTTCAGCCCATAAGGCTCTGTGTCCTGCTTTTTGTCTGTTTTACTTAACTGTAGTTAGATGTGTTCTAATTTCTTATTTTTTCTCTTTTAACGTCCTTTTTATTTTCCAGAGTTATTTTTTTCTCTCTTATCTGCTATTTCTATGTGTTTGGAACAGATAATATACACGTAAGCAAAGGCTTACTGTGCCATATTGACCAAATGTTATCTTTGAAATATTTTTAAATTATTTTTTTTCTTTTTAGCTACATAATACATGCACACAGTAAAACATTTTAATGAGAGCTCCTCAGTGCATACCTATTTTTCATATACCATTCTCTTTACCCCATTTAGGTCCCTGGTGGATGATAGTACTCTGCATAAGTGTGCTAGAGTCATGAATAATCAGTCTGATCACCTTAGCAGGTATTTGTCATGTTTTTCTCTAACACATTGCCTGTAAACTAATCCAAGACCTAGTCCTCCTTACTAGTCTCTGTGCCAACAGCTCTTCTACCCCCTCACATGCATAAAAGCACATCATTTCTTCCTGTTTAAACCCCTACACTTCTCGCTCCTTCACCTGTCAATGTTTTATCAGTCCTCACATGAAATAGAAATCCCTTAAACAGCCTTATTGCCCCAAATCCAAGTTCTAGGGTGACTAAAAAAAATCTCCTCCCATGTGCATGTCAATTGCATTGAAAATGAATTTTTCTGTATGAAACTGTGTATTTAATAATGAAATGGAGATCTTTTTTTAAAGGTTAAAACTTCTTTTAATTTTATGTCTTATAGGGTTTATACTGAGTCAAATATTGTATAACTATAACAATTCAACTGCAAACCTAAAAATTTACAGCCAATTTTGAAAAAGATGCATCTTAGCTCAGAAAATTGTTATTGAGTATGTCAATGCTGTTGTAATGACATGCTTCTTCTAAGTATGTGATTATTAAATAAATAATAAACTGGAAAAAAAATCTCCTCCCAACCTAAGGAACTTTGGCAATTGACGGCTCCTGAGCGGGGAAAAACAGCGTTTTTATAGGGATGGGACTCTTGGTGGGCCTGGTGAAGGGACCCACACTGAAGGACATTTGGGGACAGGCTGTAATATATACATACATATACAAGTACATTAAATTGGGTGGGGGCACTGAGGGGAAGTGCAGAGAGAGGAGGGGATCGAACTACCATTACCTAATCACAAAATTCACAAAAATTCAATAAAAATTTAAACTAAAAAAAAATTTTCTCTTCAACATCCTGTCCAGTCAAACCTCTTTGTCACCCAATCCTAGACTTTATTTACGTCTATGTATGTATGTCAAATTGTGATGCAACAGTCTACATAAAATCTATGTTCACTACTTGGAATTCATGCTCTCAACAACACATCAAGTTTAGGGAGTTGATGCCTAAAATGGGAAGAATCTGGGACTTGGGATTAGATCAATCTAGATTACCATTTTAGGTAAACTTTTGTTTGAGCTTGAGAAAATAGCTTGGTCTTGCTGAATATTCCTGTAGGTAAGTTACAGGTGATGATACCTAATGTCTGGATCATTGTGAGGACACAATAAAGTAAGGTGTATATAGAACCAGTATGGTAGTCATCGCAGAGTTGTTTTTCATTAAATAAGTGCTTGCCCCCTTTCTTGCCTTCTATATATTGCTCTAGTTTACTACTCATTAGGCGATACAGTTTTTAACATCAGGAATTGCTTGTAGCTAAAATGATCAGCTTTGCATTCCTACTTAAGGGATAATTGTTCTGTAATGAAGACATACACTACTTGTTTCCTTCATAGCTTTGACAATACTCTCAGCAGAACCACTGGGCCACTCAAAGAACAACACATATCTGAAGCCCATTGGAGGGAAGTCTTTGGAGTCCAGAGAAAAATGCCTCTTTAATTAAGAAGAGAAGCTACAAAAAGAGACACCAATTTGCTGGAGGTCTGGACTCACCTGCCAGAACCAGGTCCCCTGTAGCATGATGAGGCTTGACCGCAGGAGCTCCAGAAGTACGTTGTTCTTTGTAAGGAACTCCATGAAGGCAACCAGACCAGTCAAAACAGTGGTGAAGACCAGCAGCTGGTGCACAAAAATGTCCAGCATTTGACGACCATGAGTATGGTTGTAGAAGATAAAAGCTAAAAAAGGAGGGGAGAGTTAGCATTTTTCAGTAAAATCAAAGACCTCTCTCTCTCTCTCTCTCTCTCCTCATCCTTCCCGACCCCACACAATTTCCCAAAAAACCATGTCCCCGCAATGCATCTTTGCATTCTGGGGGAGTTATCACTGCCTCTTCAGAACAGAATCTTTGAATTCAAATCTTCTGTTTTCCTTCTGCAACCTTTATTCTCTTCTAACATACTACAAAATTTTCAACTATTTTTCAAAGCATTGTCTATGTAGATTGATGAATAATAAGATGACTGGGGTGAAGAACTACAATTAATGTTAATATACAGATGAATAAAGTAAAGCCTAAGTCTTGCCCTAAGGAATTCAGCTACCTAAGGAAGCAAACACATACATAAATAATAAGGGAGAACCTGACAGATGTGGCAGTCTTATCTGGAAGTTCCCAAGAAGAAGCAACTGACTGCTTGCTTTCATTCCATGGACAGATTCTAGTTTCTCTTTGCTATCATTTAGGTAAAGAGTATATATTCTCATTAAAAATACAGTAACACCCTGAGGTAATGAGAACCATAAGGTAGATGCTTGAACTCATCTATCTAACCCTTGTCTTCAAAGGGCAAATTCTTTGTTTTCAGATGTGGGAGGAGAAGTGAACAGGTTGGAAGCAACTGTCTGATCATCACTTGGAGCTGCCATAGTTCCATGGTCAATATATTTCTTACATGTAATGAATGAAGACAAATCATAAACACCCCCCACACTCTAGTAATCTTGGAAACCATTGAACAAAACATACTGTTATTTTCATTAACCTTTCAAGATTAGTAAGTCATATGTTTTGTGACTGAATGTTTTAGACACTGTTTACCACACTTGGGCAGAGTTTTATTTCTGAGGTTTGAAAAACTTGTTAGAGGATGGTGGAAGTAATACGAGTGTTGCCCGTGGTAGGTTTTTCATGTTCCATTGCTCAGAGTTTGGTTTTCATTGTTAAAAGTGATAAACCTTAATGATAAGTTCTAGGATCTACAGTGGTCATTCACCCCTACAGACATGGTAGGTTATTTTTAAAGATAGATACAAAATGCGAATAAGGCTTATAGAAGGGTTGTGTTTTCCTAGATCTACTAAACAAGTCAATAAGGAAAGAAGATTTTTGCCATCTTATCTAGAACACCCATATATTATTATTATTATTATTATTATTATTGCCCAAATAGATAACTCTGCCAACCAAGACTATAGATATGTTATAAAGGGCTAACACAAATGCCCACTAATAGAAAAAAGAACAGGAAAAATACTCCCTCATACTTACACTCCACAAAGATGGCATTTGATAACATTAATTTGGATAAGGAGACAGGAAGTGAGCTAATGGTGAAACTTAAGATATGGGAAACACCCTGCAGGCCAAAGAAAAAATACATGGTCGTGTGATGCCAGCCCAGGAGTTGGTTCCATTGTCCTTCTTTGTATAAGGCCAGGTAGGGTCCTCCAGCAATAAACTGCTCCCCAGCCATACCTGGAAAGAACCACATCACAGTTTTAGCAATCTTCTCCTTAACTTTATGAAGACACAGGAGGGTGGGCCTATTGCTTATGCCTTTCTTATGGCATTAATTCCTTCCTCTGAGCCTTTCATTAAAAGCTTAGTAATGGTGATTTAGACATGTTTTAAAAGTTCAGATGCTGGCTTGGATACAATTTTTAGTTAAATATAGTCAAAGGTATCAAAAACTTTTATATTGTTAACACTACTAATTTAGTTCAAATGTTGATTCCAATTTAATGACTAAAATACTGAATAACTTGGGGGTTTGGATTTATAATACCAGTCCTACAAAGAGTGGTTGCTTCATTCTTAGATATTACATTATTAGGTAGCTTCTGTAAAGTAGGGAATTGTCCTTGATTCCCAACAAAAATGTTAAGGAATTCAGCTTTTCCCCAATTAAGGATAACAGAGGTGGTCCAGACAGACACCACTTATGTTTTAACCACTCGTGCAAACAGCTTCACATTCTTAGAGATGCTAATTTGTTAACCCAAAGAATTGGCAGGGAAATTCTCTTTGGAAATGGTTACTCTATAATTTAATTGCTGTAGCAAAATTCTATTGACATGAATAAAGCATGAAAAAGAAATCTAATAGAAAAAAATGGGAAGTGTTATTTTTTTACAAAGGAGAGGCTACAGTGGAACTCTAAACACCGAACCTTTTCATCAAATTCTCAGTAGCAATGGAAAAGCTCTGGAGTTATAAGTCATCTGAACTCCAGTTCAGGAGGAAGGAGAAAGGATATATATGAAGCAAAGGCTTCCTAAACCCTGATCCTCTCCATAGTCTATCAGCAATGATTGATTATAGAAGATTTCCCATAATCATTTAATTATTTTGGTATAATTAACAAAATGGTTTCTTACAGAGTTTCTTCTTTCAGGGATCAGAACAACTGATAAAAATTATTTTATAGACCTCAACCAATGATATAAATGGAATTCACTTGACTAGATATACAAATTAAATACTATGACTAATTCATTAAGGAATAGGCTTGTGTATAAATATGAAATATCACCTTCATAACAGAGTACATCAGTTATAAATTAGAATTAGGATATGTATTGAGAAATATTTTAATACAAAATTCATTTAGCATATCTTGATATCATAGTAAGTCTTTATTTTGCTCATGAAAAGACCCAAAAGGAGAAAACAGAACACAGAAATGCCCACTCACCAGTTAAAGCCATGAAGATTATAACAATTCCTTCCCAAATTTCTGCTCGACGTAATAAGGCTTTGGAACTAAGGTAGCAGGTCCGATTTTGCTTTCTACAGACGTACTTTAGAATACACTTTGTACTCCACCAAAGACCCATGATAAAGAAGAAGGTTCCAGGGAGGGCATGACCTTTGAAATTCCCCATGACCTACAAAGACAAGACATAGATATTTTATTTTTGGAACCTGGCAAAAACATCTCTAGTTCGCGTTGGTATGTTACTGTCTGATGCTTATGAGTGCAGAGTAGATCTTTTATAATATTAGCAATTCCAATAAAAAGAAAATAAAAATTTGCATCCATTAGACACTGAGCGTGTATTAGATACTGTGTCAAGTGTTTTGCATTACTGTTTCAATTTCTTTTTGTGATATGGGTCTGTTTAAGCTCTTGATCTCTTCTTGGTTTAGTTTTGGTGGTTCCCATGCTTTTAGGTACCCATCCATTTCTTTAAGGTTTCCAAATTTAGTAGCATATGGGTTTTTAAAGTATTCCCTTATAATGTTCTCGATCTCTTTGGTGTCTGTTAAGCATAAAGGAGCACAGTAGGAATGTTTGACCTTCATGTTTAAAATTTGAAATTATGTGATATTGCCTATAGATTTTTAAGTAGATAATTTCAAATTATCAGTATCACATATGTGTCAAAGACTGTTAGTGTTCATCAAATTTCAGCAAATGCTTGTGTGTTCTTCCACACACATTTCCCAGTTTCTCTTCCAGTTGGATTGGAACTATATTTTTAGTCTTGGCTAACCT